AGAGAGAGAGAGAGAGAGAGAGAGAGAGAGAGAGAGAGAGAGAGAGAGAGAGAGAGAGAGAGAGAGAGAGAGAGAGAGAGAGAGAGAGAGAGAGAGAGAGAGAGAGAGAGAGAGAGTGAGAGAGAGAGAGGGAGAGAGAGGAGGGGGGGAGGGGGGGGGGAAGAGGGGGGAGGGGTGGGGAGGGGGGGGGGAGGGGGGGAGAGGGGGAGAGGGGGAGAGGGGGAGAGGGGGAGAGGTGGAGTAGGGGCGGAGGGGGGTGAGGGGGGCAAGAGAGGGGAGAGGGGGAGCGGGGGAGAGGTAGGGGGAGAGGGGGAGAGGGGGAGAGGGGGAGAGGGGGAGAGGGGAACAAAGCGTGAGAGAGGGGGAGAGGGGGAGAGGGGGAGAGGGGGAGAGGGGAACAAAGCGTGAGAAGAGAAAGAGGCAACAAAAAGAGGGAATCCTTCTGAGATTCATGTCGGTTTCCATGGATCAAAGCTCCCAATCTTGCGTGAGCTTTCCCGACCATGCTCCGAACCTCGCCGCAAAGTGGGGGGCATCTTTGCTGTACCAAAAAAGGGGTTCAACAGGAAAACTGCAAACAAAAGGGCGAAATTAAACACAGGTCGAAAGCTGGTCTGTGGTTGGAAAAACAGGGTCCGACCATCATCAACTTGGTATGGCTGACAGCCGCCCCGTAGAAACAGCCTTGGCCAGGCCGGTTCGTCGTGTTCGGGCCCCTGTTTCAAGTGACTCACGCGGCTCGAGCCGCGTGAGGCTAGTGCCCTCACAGCGAAATGCTGCTGCGGAAGACTCCGCTAAATGATTGGATGGAAGGCAGCGGGCCAGTTTGAGATGGGGCTACAAAGCATGGTTTGGATCTCTACAAGAATGGTCAAACACGGAAACATGGACCTTTTGGACGTCTGGTCAACGAATCGTCTTAGGGTTTGCATTTTGGGCGCTTTGGTAGGAAGAGAAGGCGTGGTTTTGGGCTGCAAGAACTGAAAGAAAAACGGGAACAAACTAAAAGTACCTGGCAAACCCCCAAAAACATGGTCCTGCATTGAGGCGTATAGTTACCCTTCCAAGGGACCTGCTGGAAAAGTCCGAAGTCATCTGACTTGGACAATAGGCCAAACACGAGCGTATACCACCAGCAAGGAAAGTAGGTTTATTGGATCTGGCCTGGAAGGAGCCAACGGAACTGTGGGGGCCGTGGGGGCCGTGGTGCATTCCATCCCGCCCATGCTGCGTTCCATGCAGGGCGGCAATCTCAGGGTGTGTACCAAGCGTTGGGGTAGATCAACACCGACTCCGCAGGTAGCTCCTGCGGCCGGTGGCACGGAGTCTTTGAAGGGTTCTTTCTTTGGGTAAGCTTGGGCAGGCTTACGCTACCGGGATGCTCGAGAAGCATTGAAAAGCGACAAAATCACTCCTCAATGCAACCCGCAATTGCATTCATGTCAGACCCAAGAAAAGCCAAACCCATGACCTCTTGTATCTGTTGGGAGTGTTTTTGTTCTTGGTGTTGAACAGTTTGCATTCATGTCAGAAACCAAAAAACAACGTTTTTTTGTGTGTGTGTGTGTGTGCAACCCCCCTGCCGTTGCTTGGGTTTGGTCAGCGAAGGTTTGGTTTCGGGTTGGGGGCGGTTGCCTTCGCGTGGGTTTCTTCAGAATCAGGCGGTTCCGTTCCAGCTTCCTGTCAAAAGTCTGAGCCCCCTCCTGAGCACTTTGCCTTAGTTTTGTCGGATTTTCCAAAAGACCAAAAAACTATGGGCGACGGCTGCTCAGCCATGACTCCCCCGCTCCCTATTTAGTAGCTTTGGCACACACACCCCGACTGCTGAAGGAGGCTGGAAGTCCAAAAAAAGTGTTTGCCAATTGACGATTTTCTGGGTTTGCGCATCCTAGCCTACACCAGTATCGCCTTGTTTGATTGCTTCTCCCACCTTGCAGGGGCCAGACTCGCGTTCTTTTGTAGAAACCCACCCCAAGCCAACCTTAACCCAACCGTACTCCGTTGCGAGCCTAAGCCAACCCCAATACATCCCGAAACCAACCATGAGCCAACCCTGCACCGACCCTGACAAGCCCCATACGCCCTGAACCAACCCCTAAACCACGCCCTAGCAAACCGACCCACTTGAACCCACCCCAAGCCAACGTTAAACCAAGCCTAAACCAACGCTGCTCCACCCTAAACAACCAGCCCGAAACCAAACCCTAAACCCACAAGACACTTTAGTCACATCAGTTGTCGTTTGGATCGTAAACCCCATGCAGGAACCATTCCACACACACACACACCAGTCGGGCAAGACTTGCACGTGAAACCCAGCGCGTTGTGCGCAAGGATGCCTGCAAGATGGGCTCCCGGCACGATGCTGCTTTCCGCGCGCTGCCTTTTTCACAGCAAATCACAGGTCAGACGCGTGAACGGAGCTCACGGCTCCAGAGCCGAAGCTACTTCTTTCAGCTCTTGCTGCTGGAGAATCACCGCGAGCAAAGGTGAATGAGCAGCCGTGCTGTGGTTTTTTTGTCCATCAGCCCCTTGCAGAACTGAATGGTGACACGATCAAAATCTTCCACTGAGACTGAGCACACCTTGAGCTCTGCCGCCTTGTACCAGTTTCAGCAGCGCGTGAATGCCCTCCTTGGTGTCCAAGTCAACATCTCATCCTGCCCGCTTCTTGAAGATGCGACCGTGCGGCTCCTGCATGTCAGTGTTGCCAAAGACCCTTCGAGTACACTGAGTACACGACTGGTGTGCCCGGCCGTGGACAGACGGCTTCGAAGACCTGTACGTCGCGGACCCAGTAGCACGGGTAGCGTCACACTGCAAGGGTTGAAGAAAAGCGCAAGCCCAAGCGAGCGACAACGTAGAGCCCTGAGCGGGCCTTTTCTGGACGTCGCCGTCCACATTGTCACCGCTGACCCCCACCATTGTCAATTGCATTCGACAAGGTTCCAGCCCAAACGGCTCCCGCAGCCACCGTCCCAAACCGCATCGTGGCAAGCGCGCCTCAGCGGAGGCCAACAGGAAACCTGGTGGCTGCCTTGAGTTGTGACACACACACACACCATCACAGATACAGCTCTGAAAATTGTCTTCGACCAACGGCTTCGTGAGACCCTAAACCAACCCTAAACCAAGCCTTAACCAACCAAACCCAAAACCCAAACCCGAACAAATCCTAAATCAGCCCTAAACCAACCTTAACCCTAAACCAACCCTGCTCCTTTGTAACAAGCCCAAACCGACCCTGAACTAGCCCTAAGCCAACCCTGAAACATCACGAAACGACCATGACTAACTTTATACCAAACCAACCTTGAACCAAGCCAAAACTGACCAAACCCAAACCCAAACCAATCCTTAAACAGCCCAGACTTAAACCGACCCCAAGCCAGCCTCAAACCAAGCCTAAACCAACCCCAAAACGACCCAAACTAACCCTAAGCCAACCCTCGAGACCAAACCCTAAACCTAACCATAAACCAACTCTGCGCCGACCATGACCAACTCTAAAATAGCCCTGAACCAACCCCAAACCAAGCCTTAAGTAACGAAACCCAAACCCAAACCAATCCTTGACCAGCCCTAAACCAACCCTTAACCAGCCCTAAACCAACCCTAAACCCAACTCAAACCAGCCTTTAACTAAGCCTAAATCAACCTGCTCCTTTGTAGCAACCCCAAACCGACCCTGAAACAAACCTACCGACCCTAACCCTACGCCAACCCTAAACCGTACTGAAACCAATCCCAAAACCTAACCATAAACCAACCAACTCTAAACCAGCCCTGAATCAAGCCTACACCAAGCCCAAACCCAAACCCAATCCTAAACCTGCGCTAAACCAACCCTAAACCCACCTAATCCCTCCCTGAGCCAACCCTGAACAAAGCCTACACCATCCTTTGTAGCAACCCCAAACCGACCCTGAAACAACCCTTAGCCAACCCTTACCCAAGCCGTAACAAACCCAAAGCCGACCCTAAACCAAGCCTTGACAAACCCGAACCACACCCTAAACCAATCCCAAACCAACCCTGAATGAAACCCTAAACTACCCTGGCATGCAGGCTGGGTTGTTCGATAATTGTGCTTCGATGTTTGCCTGTTTGGTTTTCTGAGTGGCCCCTCGGCGGCAGTTGCTGATTGGTGCTTCATTCCCCCAAAATCACCCCATCTTCCCCCATCCACCTCCATCACCCCCCATCGCCCAAATCCATCCCAGTCCACCCCAGTCCACCCCCATCCACGCCAGCCCACAACCCCATCCAGCCCAATCGCGCTCTGCGCCTCCTCTGGGCGAGTCTCGAAGCAGAGATGCTGCGGCTCCTCAGGCAAATGTTGATCACTGTCCGATTTTCTTTCTTTTGTTGATCGGGCCCAACCGCTATGTACTTTGATCCGACTACCCCCCTGCAAGCTCCTTGCGGCCATTTTGTACGAGAAGGAAGCCTTGCCACTGGGGTTGATTCCTTTTCCATTCTTTTCAGCCATCGTTCTTTTCAAAAACCGAGCGCCAGGTCCCCGGGGTTTTTGGTGGCTTTCTAGAAAGAAGGATCCCTGGAAAGAATGGGGAAGTTGGCCCTAGAGCCATGTATTTTCATCCAACTACCCCGCTGCAAGCACCTTGCGGCCGTTATTTTTGTACGAGAAGGTCACTGATTCACAGGACACGCCCCAGGCCTCAAGTCTCACCTCCGGCATCACAGCGAACGGGGAATGGAAGGAGCGAGCCTTGGCCAAGGGTCGGCGAAGATCCGAAGGCAGCGAGAGAGGCGAAGGTGTCTTCAGGAAGGCTTTTTAGCTTCATCCAAGACGCTCCCTCTTTACCCATCTCAAAAAATAAGCCCCAGAAGCATCCCCAACAACCCAGAATCTACCCACAGCACTCTCCAGAAACCCTCCCCAAAGCATCCCATCAGGAGTATCGCCACTTTGTTAGGGGTACCTTCCCCATTCTTTCCAGGCATTCTAGCAAACCTCCAGAATTTCAGAAAAAAAC